GCAATAGAGACATGAATTGCCACGAAGACAGTGCTATTCTGGCACTCCTGGTGTGTATGAAATGAGTTCGGGTTTGTTGTCGCAGTAGTATTGATATAAGTATCCAAACATAGCATGTGTTATAAGATGTCTGTAATAATCTGTTTGTTAATGAAAGTAAAGATGCGGTCAATACGAGTGATAACACGAGACAAATGGGAATAAAAGCGTCCATATTATCAAACATCAGTTCCGATGAATGACTTGTTGGCCAACTCGTGATGAATGTGATCGGAGTAATCACATGAGGGGTCAAGTAGTCGACTACTTTAGACCGACTCAATGTCACGGTTATACCTCCGAGTCCTATGTCTGCCGACTTTGAAAGATAAAATTTAAGATAAGATGAAATGTTAGATCAAATAATACAGTAATTAGTGTACATTAGTAGACAAGAGGCCAATAATTCCTGTCCACGAATTGTTGTCGAGAAGGTGACCCCAATTAGCCCGACAGTTGATTGTAGTGAATGTGAAATTAAATTGCTTGCTCATTTGTCTCAATATAATCATTTCATAGCCGCCACTAAATGTGTTATTAGATTCATAATCCATTAAAACATGGGGAGAGTTCTGGGGATTAAGACAATTGAATATTTAAAAATAAAATTCTTATTTTATATATTCTGTATTTAATATTATATCTACTGAACAATAAAACAAGTATCATTCAAAAAACTATGCATACTTCAGAAATGACCACTTTAAGCTGAGTGCCAAACAAATTCAATTTGGACGACATTTCAATTTGATATTATAAAATAAATTTTAAATATTAACATGTAGAATACTGTATATATTATAGATCTGTAAATATATTTGTTTATTGAGCTTAGATATAGCGTTTGAATCTACAGTAGCTTTAAAATAAACAACACTATTATTGACTAATATTTTTCATATTTTTTTATATTGTGAAATAATAATTTAATATTTTATTCAAGCACATTACATATTCTTTGGACAAATATAAACTCAATTATACTGTGTACTTAATATACATGAATGCTTTTATTATTTTAATAATTAATGATGTGCAATCACAAATAAATTGATTCTGTACTTTGCCAAATAATTATGAATGGGTACTAACAAAAGTGACATTTATTTATGAAATACATTTACATGTATTTTCTCACATTCTTAATCAATATTTCTTATATTTTAAATGTTTGAATGAAATCCTTAAAATCAATAAGAATAGCAAATATTCATATAAATCATTATTTACTACCGGTAATAGTTTGACTAAATTAATTGATAATTCATAATAATAATTGAATTACAAAGATAATCATATGTTTAGTATAAAGTTGTTGAAAATACATTAGAAACAGGATATATTTGCTATGAATATAATTACTGATTGTTTATCACTTTCTCACTCACAAATTATCAGTTTCTATACCAAAAAATTTTATTAAAATTGTAAAAACATTTATAATTAATGGTAGATGTCCGCGTAATCCTAGCACACCTTGTAATCTAAATAATATGATAAGAACCAGGGTATATATTCTTATCATTCATACATACATGATTACTTATCTTATTATATAATTTTATTGTCATTTAAATGTTTAGATATTTTTAATTAGAATTACATTAATGAATAACAAATTTAAATCTAAATAAGGTACTGTATTATGATTAAATTAATAGACACCTCAATTAAAGTAATTAAAAGCTTTAATATAGTAATAATCTCCAAAAATCAAAGCCGTGTCGTAATTATTTCTGTCAGTACTTCCGTTCACAATTAGCGCCGGTATTTTGTACACTGGTTTGCCATCAGCTCTGTATTGATTAGAATTCAATGAATCCATGATTTTATTGAAAGCATTCAAATATTTCGTATTATTTGTGAATCCAAAGAGCTCTATGAGTCCGGACGCGGCTATCTATTAGATGTAAAAAGTTTCACTCAAATGTTGTGTTACTATTAGACCTAATCGTATATACAGTACCGATGCGGCCGAACTGTCTCTATGAATGTAGGGATGGCTGGGATCGTGGGGTACATCGAAGTCCCACAACGGTATGCCATCGGCCGGAGCCTTGTCTATGAAATAGTTGGACACACCCTCGGCTGCCTTTAGGATGTAATCGGCTTTTGTATATCTGTAGGCAATGGTGAGTCCGGCCACCAGCCAGGCCTGTCCCTGACTCCAACACGACCAGTCAGCATATCCGGTGGCCGTGTATTTGCGGATCACTTGACCATTCGATGGGTTGAATGACACGACATGGAAGTGCGAGTAGTCTTTCCTCAGGTGCTCTCTTATGGTGACATTTGTATGGGAGACCGCCATATCGTACAGAGTCTTATTGCCAGAATGCTTCCAACCCTCGAATAGTAGCTCCAGATTCATCA